AACAAAAATATAATATAGAGTATATTTTTCTCTTAGATACAAAATACGATTTTTATTAGGTTATTCACATGTGATACACTTTTGTAGTAAGTGAATTTACTTGTGTTAAATGTCATGATGGAGATAGTAAATAATAAAATCTAAGACCATATTTTTGTAACACTTAGTATGTCTAATTTGGAAATATTTTCTCATACGATTTATACGTATGAGAAAATACGTATAAATATGTACGTAGAACTATGGGGTAAGTTTACAGTATATGGGTGCTGTCAACAATTTTACTGAAATGGGTTTTTGTACTCAATATAAAATTGTACATGGAAAGTAGCGGCTACAAATATATGGATGTTCTCACGAATATTAGAACAGAAAATATTCGTAGATGTCCTATTTAACGTTTAGTTCAATCTATAAACCCTATAATTTACACATAAACATTTTGGTAAGGATACAGTTCTGATTAAACTACTATGCATTTTAGTAATCGGGGTACTGTAGTACATGAAATTTCGAAATGTAATAGTATATGTACTCATAATTATCATTATGTGTTAACGCCCTAATAATTTGATCAACTAATACCCCCGCTGCAGCAACCCTGCTGACTAAGCGAATTTCCATTCGTCTGAATTGATTTTCAATTAAATTTATTTAAATAACATTATAGGTTTAACGAGTACCTAGGTTTGCTGCTACAGGGAGGGTAATAAATCGAGTTTCTACTTTCTACCCCTATACATAGTAATACTGTAATATGGAGAAAGTATTGCTTTTGTTCAAAACTTTCGAATTTGAGTTTTTGTAATATATTTGTATTGTAATATATGTTTTGAAATATATCCATTTGTATTGGACCCCCTGAACCCAAAAAGTGGTTTTCGAAGTGATGTCTCGGCATCTTCAGGCATTTTTAATTTTTTTTTTGAAATCTTGATTTTTTATGGTAGTTTTTCAATAAAAATCCATAGAATAACGGAATAATCGAATTTCATGAAAATGGCCCGAACGATTTTGATAAAAATTTAGTTTGTTGTAGCCCATTAAATTCTGAACAAAATGGTATAACCTTTATAGCTGGAAAAATTACGGTTCATAACTTATTGTAACTTATATTTTCCCATAAATAATCCCATTTAATAAAGGAATATCGTTTAATGTCTTCAAAAGAAGGGAGCTCCAATAATACTAATGCGACACTTAAATCCACCCAAGCTGTGCAACGGAACCAGACTGACGATAAAAAAATGACACCATACTTGATTGAAGCGAAAAAGCCAAAAAGCTAAAAACGTATTTATACACCTAATGAAAAAAAACAAAAAAACATTGTTTAACCACAAGCAATTAAGTAAAATAAATATTCTATTTTAGTTTTTGGTATAAATTTTTATTATTTATCGTAAAAAGGTAATACCATTTAAAATAATTGTTAGGGCAGCAACGCGCACCGGGTAACTGATAGTATTAAATATTATTATATTAGTACCAGGGGACCGAGCCGTGGTTCGGTATAGTTGATTTTGATTGTAACATTCTAAAAGCAATACAAAGGAAACTCACGCTTTATTAATAACTAATTTTGGCTTTTAGCGAATACCCCCAAAGGTGAGTATGTGAGTGGGAGAGACTTATATGTGTCCGTAAACGCGATAACCTGAGCAATTTTTGTCCGATTTTGGGTTTTTGTCCGGGATAAACTTAAATGAGTTCGCGAACCAGCATGATCGGACCATGGGAACGGGGTTTTACTTTTTAAATGTAGATAAAATAAATATAATTTTATATTTACGAGCTGTTGGCCTCCCCTACGTCCGGGAATCGAGAAGTCAGTTAAAACTGTGTCTAGGCTATATAATTCAGTTTTTAATGTGAAAAATAATCTTGTTAACAAATGTCACGAGACCAAATATTTTTCCATCCGAATATAGGGCTATACGATATGCATTTTAAATCCGATAATTTTACAATATTACCCCGCCACAGCATAAACCTGCCGACTAAGCGAATTTCCATTTGTCTGGATTGATTTTTAATCAAATCTATTTCAATAACGTTAGGTTTAACAAGTACCTAGGTTTGCCGCTACAAGGAAACTAAGTGTGTTTTAATAATTGCGTCGTAAAAAATAAATAAATTTGCCAAGTTATTTGATCAAAATATATAAACAAGCAAACTATAACATATTACAATATTCTTCATAAGAATAACATGGGAATTTTAAATTTACATTTTGTTTTTATTTTCTCGCTTACCAATAACCGAAATATAGTTATTTGTGTAACTAGTGGTGAAAGTGGCACTTTGCTGCACACGAGAGCAATGTTTACGCACGAGCCGTAGGCGAGTGCGGAATGATCTCGAGTGCAGCAAAGGCCTTTTTCACTCGTGTTACACATTATATTTTTCCTACAGTCACTATAAAACATAAATAATTAGTCTTTCAAACACTATACAACACGTTTTTAGGTTCAGCTAGCAACACAATTACACAAATGGTGCCCTGGAGAAAGTAGTACCCGTGGTCCGTATCACTCCGCTATTTTTCCTCGGCAAGAAATGTGCTCCGTCTTTTGAGAATATAGTTCCGTATGTTTTTGTAATTTTAAGTGGTTTCCGCGCCTAAAAAAAATGCTTTAAAGGTATTTTCTTGTTTATTAAGACCGTAGGAATGTTTTAAAAACGTTTAAAAGAAAATTCCAGAAAGTTCAGAAATACCAAAACTATAAACACGAAATGACAGGTTAAATCGTAGTTATAATAGTCAATCAGCTGTTCATAGTATTATTATCTTTAAGTGTTGCCAACCTATTTCCAAGCGTACACGGATTACGTGCATAATAAAACCACGCTGTTTTGTGTTGTTTGGTTGGAATCCTGATGTGCGGCAAAGTATAAACCGTGCGGCAAAGTATAAACCGTACGGCAAAGTATAAATATGCAGCAATTAGCAGCTTTCTGTACTATAAACAGTACAGGGAAGCCAACTTTGTCGGGTGACTGTAGGAAAAAATACTTTTATATACTAAATAATTTGTTTTTTAAGCTCTTCTAAAAGGTCTAAAGAGAAATTGGGAAATTTTGTGTTTTGAGGGTCAAAAACGAGAAAACCCATTTTTACCCCATAAAAACCCCCATTTTATTCCACAACAACTAATAACAGTAAAACACTTCCATAATTTGTATAACTCAAACTCACGCCCATTACAATGACAGTTTTAGTCTATGTTGGAATACAAGATAAATTATTATAATATAAACGAATAACACTGATAACGAGCGTCAAACAACAATAATAAACTAACAGTAAATATTACCACAAAAAAAAACAAAAAACATAATGGTGCATATCGGACTGGATGGCGAGTTCGAACCAATGATTTGGCAGACGTATGACACTGAAAAAAATATATATGAGCAGTAACTGAAAACTTTTTGAGGTATAGGTAAAAATGCCACTTAATTTTATTCGACTTATCAACATCAATAAAATAGTAATTGTTCATCTAATTATAGATGTATAAATGCAATTTTCATATTACCATCTTGTATTTGGTACAATTGAATAGCCATTATAGCATGCAATGTAGAACTAGAAGCGGAATGCAAAAACTGCAGTCTAAATCAATCATATCATGCAGTTTTACTTTATAGCCCAAAGCAAAAACAGTAGGTAATTCAATCAGTTTTTGGAATTTAATAGTTTTTGACTTCAATCAAAAGTGGTGTATAAAATTGCTTTAAGTTTGTAATAACATTCAGCAACTAACGATTTTTAAAATTAAATGTCAAGTAAAAATGTCAGCCTACATTTTGTTGTCCCTAGATAGATAATAGCTGAATATTACTTCAAATAGGCTAGCCTGTAACGAATATTAGTAAATTATAATATAATGTTCTAATGGTGTTCTAGGTCTAAATTATTATGTTAAAGAGGCTGGATTTGTAGAAATGAACGATGATGACATAATTATGACAGTTACATGATGTGTAATGATATTTTGTGACACAGTAGTGATTAAATGTTGACTGATTGACTGTGCGTAAGACCATTTGGGAGTATTTTGCACACAAAATTAATCAACAATTCACTATGCATGCACGGTAATGTATTTCATACTGTTACAACATTCTCACAATCCATGCACCCCGTTCTTCCAAAGTCAAACACTAGTCCTATATACCGCTTATAGTATTACATGGATTAGTGTAATCCAAACCTTTAACATTCACACAATCCATGCTTCACTAGGACAAGATGCACTCACTATTCACATGCTACCTGGGTGCAAAGACAAATGAATGAAATGGTCAGGTGAGCTAAAATTAGACCCTGAAATTGTGGCCTTCAAAACTTCAGTGGCGTTCGATACGTGGGGGCGTGTCTAGTCAGCCGCGTACCCTTCTACGTCTGAGCTGGATATATACGATTAGAGTGTTCATACTCATGCTTTCAGAGTACACAATTTATATTTGAAAATGTGCATCTAATATCAAGCTTTCATGATGAGATTGTAATGAGTAATTGTATAAATCAGGTAAAAATAGGTAACTTATACGGTAATTATAGATTATGATAAGTTAAATTGTGTACACCAATGTTGTGTATGAGATGTAAAAATTAGAAATACAACGAGCAAAAACTGCAGACAACGCATCAATAAATAACAGCCCCCACCTAGCTGATTTTTTAGGTCACCACATCGGCGGAGTACAAAAATAGTCGGGAGTGGGTTAGGCTCGTTTCTCTAGTAAAATGGGCCGTGACGGTAGGCCTAGTATTTCAGTCCGCGGTGGTTTCCCATGCAAATTAGCTGCGTATTGTAATTAGTAAAGAGAGGTTCGTCGTCAGAATGACTCCCGAAATAATCTCGGTGCAAGCGTCGTTAGTAAAAATACCTCACAAACATCTCATCGCACCGAGCTAGTGAGCTGCGAGCGGCTGAGAGGGACTATTATATTACCTAAGTTGCTAAACAAGTATGTAGCAGTGTACTCACCAAGTCGCAAATAGTGTCAGGATAGGAGTTTCGCAATTCGTTGCACTAAGTCGGGCGGTTCTTCGTAGCGAGCACTTGTAACAATTTATCACTAAGTATTAACGATTATATATAGAAAGACTAGACGAGTCTAAATTAATTTAATAACGCGATATCGTCAAACATCAATCCCTAAAAGACATATCGAATGCTAGGTTAGCATGACCCCGGTCGGAGCTGGTCGAAGAGATAATAATACGAATCTCGGAGCACTCGCGGGGACGAGCCGGTCTCTCTTCATCACAGAAGCAGAATATACTTTCTCACGAGCGAAAAGACATTGATTTCTCGTTGGATGATAGGGTGGTCTGGTGGCGAGGCGGTAGCGGAGACGGAGCGTACCGGACTGACGGTGGTGCGGGCGACTACTGGACTCGAGTTTCGTCGTCTACTGGGCTCTCTGCAGTGCGACTAGACTAGCAGGGCTGGCAACCGTGGGGAGAAAATACCCCACATCGAGACACGTGTGTACCCGGCCGGGTCACAGCGTGAATGCTGACAATTAGTTTTGTTCGTTTTGTTATGGTTAACAGTTTGTATGGGAAATTTTTACTAAATAGCCTAGATGTTGTTAAGTAATTCAAATCTTCTTTTTAAGTCTGTTCTTTTCAAATCTATTTATTACTTTTATGATGTTATTTATTACTTTTATTTTATTTATTTTTATACATACCGGCGGGCCAGCTGTAACCATAACCCGTGAAAATTAGGTCATTGATATATTTTAATGTTAACAGTAGGACAATAATTACAGTGTTGGTCATACTTTTTTCAAAAAAATTGATGGCTCGTTGTTTATAAATTCGATTCGCTTAACAAGTGTTTGGATTAGGCGGTATGGTACATCTTCCCGTTGCGAAACATGGGTACAGTAGCTACTAGATAGTCAATGCTACTAGCTAGCTTTATATATCGACTACACATTTTTTATAACTTATTCCGTTGTAACAAATTTTGTGACAATACAACCTACAACTAGAACAAACATATTAAATGGTAAAACGTAGTTACCAGCGTGACAAATAATAAATTGTAATAATTGTGTAATACACGACAAGTATAGCGTATAATATTTATTCATATGACTTGTGAGCGTTCAAAAAGGGATCTCCGAAGAACTGTCCAAAAATCTTCGGAAAATGAAGTTAAGATTTAGTGAATATATAAGTTAAATGATTTAGACAAACGTAACAATGCAAACCGACAACAATGTTCGCAGGGGGCGCGGGGAGAGTCAGGGAAATGTGTGGGACAAGTGTTTGGTTGGCAGCGCCGTGTCGGCTGGGCGGGGCCACCTCTAGCCGGGGGGGAGTACCGTCTCTCGGCTCTCGCCAGACATCAGCGCTCTCTTTTTTCCAGACATAATTTTTCCCAATGGCCAGACCGTAAGCAATCAGTATTGATTGACGTATTCAAACGATTGCCATTTTACACTTGTGTTGATTTCATAGTTAGAGCAAAAAATGGCGATGATAAATATTAGCTAGTTGTAAAAAAATGGACAATTAACAATTACATATAGTATTCCAAAATTATTGCATTTTAATAGTATATAAGTTTAATAGTACACAAATTTAGTGATTTCCCATTTTGTATGGAATTACTGGAACTATACTATTACTGTACTATCTATATAAAAGTATCAAAAGATGGTTTTTCTTTCAATATAGTAATGCACAATAGGTCTATATGTTTATTGTAGAAATATTTTTTCAGCAAAATATAAACCGTGATTTATATTGAAAAAAAGCAAATTGAAATATATAAATTTATATTTTGTTTTGACCAGTCAAACAATGAGGACAATATTTGATACGCCCGCCTTCATTCCCGCGAACGCAATATAGGGCCAACGGTGTGCTGTGGATATTGCAGCAGAACCCCTGCAACTTTGTACTGTGGAATTACACCTGCTGCTGCTAATAATAATCGACACTTAAAATTAACAATATGAATATCATAGAAGTAGAGTAACTATTTTAAGGGTTTATTGTTTTTGTATTTGTATTGTAAATACCATTCTCTTAATGGTAGGGTTTTTTATAATTAATTAATTAGTTTATTGTATATATTTCATTTCATCATAATTGGACATTTAACACTGACTACAGAGTCTAGATGTTTTTATGGTCAGGCCTATAAATTCTTAAAAATCATGCCACTTCTTATAGTTGAAAAGGCCATGGAACATTATTTATACAGCAGTGTTGCTCTTAAATATTGTTATCGTAACCACGATGATAAAGCAAATTCTGATTTTATCCTAAAGGAAATGTTTCTATTTAATTTCAATCACGTTGAGAACTTACAAAGGCCACACATTCAGGCAAAGGAACAAGTCACTTGTCAACTAGTTTTATTGGTTAGTAATAAACTGAAAAATTGCTTTCGGGAAAGACTATTACTGTTTTAATAACCACCAAACCCATTGTTGCAGAAGGAAACAGTGCTGCCAACAAGCACGATGAAATTCCCTCGGGCTAGGAGCGACCCACTTTACTTTTTGCCGGATGCAACGACTACGAAATATTTCAGACCACCCCCAAAGACCTTCTATTTCCATTTTGAACGTCCTGGAAATAAGAAACGGCGGTATCTAGGATCTCTTCGACGAACTCCCGAGGGACCGTGTGCGGCGAATCTGTAAACATTGCGATCCTTGTATCCGGAGAGAAACTTTGGTTGGTTATATCTTTGATTATGGATAGAGCTAGACAACACATCCGCTCATTGAAGCTGTATCCGGGTTTACAACAAAAACATGATTGAATTATCTACAATGGAGTGCGCTGATGTACACTACTCAAGTGCTATTTATTAAATTCATCAACATTGAGCAAAGCCATTGCTTAAACAACTACAACATCGTTCAGGCCAAAGTACCAAAGAAAAAAAAACAATGGAAGTAGTGCGGATTTGAGGAGATCCATTCACTCTATGTTATTTAAAAAAAAAAAAAACAAATGGGGACAGTTGATATAGATGAGATGTATACAGTTAAGTATCAAAAGTCAATGGTTAAATCATAACAAAACATACTTTGTGATAGATTTGCCATCCTCATCGACCAGCAAAAGATAATTAATGTAGTGACGCTTTTGCATAGTGTATACAGAGTGCAATTTTATATTTACAGTTCATCAGTGATATTTTACAAATTTTAAACTAATTCAACCAAATGAAACGCATTTAAGTCGGGTTCAAAGCTCAGGGCTTCAGATTTTACAGTACTCAAATTTTCCTGGTAGTATTTGGCCAGAATGGCAGTTAATATTTTCTTTAAATTCGATGCTATAACCAAATCTAGTTTTGATTGTTAAAAACTCGGTAATTTACAACTATGTCCTAATTAGATTTCAACACCTCAAAAACTATGGATTGTCATAGTAACAGTTTACAGAGAGTTACAAGAAAGTGTGGGGTTCTTCTGAAAAAAAAAGAAAAAAAACGGAAACATTGCATTACGCGAATAGGCAAAGATAGTTTTCAAATGTCGACACTTTCCTGTGTTAATAAAATATTTAAGTAATTTCAATTGAGGTTAACGGCATGAATCATTGCTAGGCCTACTAACCTAGTAGAAATCCGTATCACATAAATTAAACCATAGTCTAATTGGAACCAAGATAGGAAAACTTCAAACGACCCAGTTTATATTTCAGCCTGTTCTAATCTTCATTTTGATTCAAGTTCTGTTCTATCGTTGACTCGACATTCTATATTTTCATGGCGCAAACGTTTTATATCCTGGATACGTTTTAAATTATAGTTTTGAATTTGTTTTGAAATTAGTGTACATTATGTGATAGTTCCTTCAGACTATTTAATCATTCCTAGTATTTTCTTGCGTACGGTAACGTATATTGTATTGCCAGCGCATTCTAAACTACTCGCCCCGGGTCATTATTGAAAGTGGTTTAAGAAGGACATCCTTTCAATAATTTAAATCCTAGGCTTAGAATAATATAAATAAAAATAAATAGAGTTTCACTAGTTAGACCTTTACGGCTACTCAGTGGTGACGATTAAATAGAAAGGATACACTTTAATCTAACTAAAAAAAAACAAAAAAAAAACAAGGAAATTGTGCAACAACAGATGTGAATGTGTCACAATCCAAGGAAATATATTAAAATGGTGAATATTTTGAATGCATACAAAAATGAACAGCAAGCACAGAAATGTAGCGCAATTTCCCTTAGCGAGTATGGAGTCGGTTAGACAAAAGATGGCAGATAGCTCGCTTCTTATTTCTCCGATATTCAAATTCCAAGAGGCAAGCTAGAGCGCTCCATATGGTAACAAAACAGCACTATTTCCGAGACAGCTCGAGGGAATTTCATCACCGACAGTATATAAGTTGGTATGACTGCTTCCTCTGAGGATGTCGGGCTGAAGCAGAAATGTATGCAAGCGTATCCTCTTTTGTTTAAAAGTCTTTGCTTGTCTCGGGGTATTGAATTGTGACGTTGATTTATTGTTCTGCTTCTAGCTTTCCTAAATTAAAAATAGGAATGACTTTTTGTTAATGTTTGACTAAAGTATTGTTTTTAATGGATTTTATACATTAATACTCGTAAAAATTGGAGATTGGTTAAATATCTTGTATCTTGTTTTGTAAATTCTACTATGAAAATATATACTCATAAAAAATGTTACTATTTTCAAAACTATTTTTTGTACATTTCAGTTCTACCTTACCATAATATAATTTGTGTTCGGTTTTCGAATCTGGTAATGATCTACATGGTTTCTTCCTGACTTTCTATCTCTCCGGAAAGTTTTATTTTTAACTAATCTCATGACTTACATAACTGAAATTTATATTAATTATTCACACCAAATAATATATATACTGTATATACCTACGTTACTTGTGCAATAACAATAAACAAACTGTTTGTCGTAAAGGCTGGACCATTTTTTTCACGTGAGTCAATATTACTACACTTTTTGAAGCACCTGCCTCTGAATTGCGTTGTCCAAAATTCAGGCGTCTCATATCACCTGCCCACTCGACACTGTGGTGTATTCATTGCCGGCCTGGCACCCGCCTAGCACATCGTCCTTATAGCATTTCGTCATAATTCATCTCCAAAAATTTTACTACTTATTGAATACTTAATTTAGAATTATCATCTTATTGTAACATCTTGTTTGATGTGTCACATGTCCGATGACGTTAGAGAGCGCTGATTTCGTCTAAATATTTGTTTTTAATTAAATTGATCGTGGACGCTTTAATCTTTGGTTACTTTAAGCAGGCGACAGCGATTTATTCGTTTGGATAGATTACAAGCTTGCAAAATAATATGAAATTACAATAATAGTACAAGTAAAACATGGTTCACATTGGACAGAAACACGATCCAAAAGAA